GGTGAGGAAAAAGAAAGTCAGACCATCCACTACAACCTTGCACACTATCAGACAATAGCTTTTTGATGAATAAATCTGATCTTTTTAGGATGTGTGTTTAATAACAATAAGAGCACTGCAGCTGAGGGCACAGGGAGCTCAAGTCCAGATAATATAGTATGCAAGAGCAAACCATAATGCATCTTGAGTGAACTCAGTAAAGTACAGCTAAGAATATTTCTACAGTGCTTTGTGCACTATACTAACTCTGGTGCATTTGAAATGCAACCTGTGCTATTACCAAACAGTAAATGGAAGTTTTCTATTTCCCCTAGCCACCAAGAACGAAGGCACACACGTAGATCCAAACCTCAAAAACCAACTCCAAGAGTAACTCTGAGAGGTATGGCTCTATAATCCCTATAACACTCTGCTTAGAAGCATTCCTATACCAAAAAGAGGCCAAGTAAACAGATACATGAACTCTGTGTCATGCACGAGAAGGTGGCACAGACTAGTTAATCTTGAATATTCTGAAACACATTAGCCACTTGGCACAAAAAGCTCCCCACCAGAGTTAGAGTACAGGATAAGCAATGCACCTCCACCACGTAATTGCTCCATCAACCCTGGAGAGCTATCTAGGGCGCCTGGAAGTGGTACACTGGAACATAATGGGCCTATTTCATTCCTCAACATTCCCCACCCCTGCAGTGCTATCCACTGAGGTCTCCACACTTAAATCACTAAGCTTTATCTCAAGGTTTGAGATGCCCATGTACTGCCTGGAGCATGTTTACTCCTGCACTACCCCCTCCTCCTCACTGGAGAGCTGCGGAGGTGTTTTAGCTTGGTTCTCCACGGAGTCATTGCCTCCAGCATCTGCTGAGCTCAGCCAAGCAGAGGGTGTTCTGCACCACGCAGGATCAGGCTCTTTGTTCACAGCATTTTCATCATACAGAAGCAGGAAGACACTGAATACAGCAGGTTTTTTTTTTCCTGACATGGGGGCAAGGATGAAAGCGTTAATCATCATTTGCCCACTGCACAGCACACAGGGAACGTTGCCTGGGGGCTACACACTGCAATGAATTTCCCCCAATTTTGCTGCCAGCTATGACATGCTGCAGTGCTTCAGGAAAATAGCTAACTGTTCATGAGCAGAGTGCACCAAGTTCCACATCTCTCATCAGATACACAGAGGTACAAGAACAACAAAAACTGTAGTGGTGCTTCCAGCTTTCCATTCCTCCCTCAAATAACAAATAGCATGATACACAAGAGTGGGTTATGAGACTTCAGAGGTCCAGTGACCAAAAACTTTTCAGTTTCAAACAACAATAAGCAAGTTTACTGCAACATACCACCTCTCCTCTTTTTGTCATGATGCCTGTAAACAAGGTAGTGGTAGTAAACAATTCTAGCTCCGTTTGCAAGGCTGATTTCCTTAAATCTGCAAGACATCTGTAATGCAGATCTAGAAATGGACAGAGAGCATGCTCCCATCTGAACGAAAATGCAGTGACAGACCAAAGAACTGCAGCTAGGCACTTGCTTAAGTCTGAAGGTGGAGATTTTAAAAGGGGAAGAAAAAAAAGCTTCTGAGAATGAGATGTTTACACCCACTGCTGTGCAAGATAAGAAGCCTGTGCAGGTCAGATATTTTGCTTTAAAGATCACCTTCAAGGGAAAAAAAAGCAAACAACCAGGCAGCTTAAACCCAGCTGTATCACTGTGCCATGCCTACTCTTCACTAGCAAACTACAGCATTTGTGCATGTAAGGTCTCCCTGGATAATGATGGCTTTAGACCCATTCCTCTAGAGCTTTCCCACTGTAGAAAAGTAATCTTTCAAAAAAAAAAAATCAAATTTGAATTACCATTAACTAGTGACTGCAAATCATTGCTACTTATAACAAGGCTTTTTAATTGTACACTGTTAATATAAAGGCCTACTGCAACCACAGCTCTAAGTCCAAAAGACTGGTAGTCCAACCAGCCTTCTGCTTCATTCCTAGTCTAGTCACACTGCAGTCATGGCTGCACTTGACCCAAGGGAGTGCTATCTAATAAACAGGTTGTGAAATAGCTGGAAAAGGACAATACAGTCAGGAAACACCACCAGGATACTGAGCCATGAAGTCCTGGAGTTGTTAGTTCTAATAGACACAAGGAAGCAAGAATAATTTTCCTTAAGCCTTTCTCACCAGCAAGAAGGTCACCAGAAGACTCAATACCAGGAAAAACAGCTATTGAATTTACAGTATATAACTCCCCAAGACACCCTATAAGTTAATGAAGTCTGTGTGAAAGAACAGGGAAAACAGCGTCTGAGGTAATAGCAGACAATAAATCCTAGCAAGCAACAGGCAGTCCAACCAGAACTGTCTGTACAAGATTCAGTCAGCTCAATCTTGTGCAGACAGTCAGTGCAGCAGTTGAACTAAATATGAAAGGATCCAGTAGTTTTAACCAATTCAGGAGAAAACTATGATCATCATGGGGAAAAAAAAAAAAGGGAGAAAAAAAAAAGCTGGTGATTTTGGAGTTAGCACTGGTCCTATTTTCCTCATGAGAAGATACGAGACTGTGCAGCACCTCTGCAGAACAGGGTCTCCAATGGAAACCTCCAGAGTTAAGAACATGAGGTTCTAGTCAAGACTATTCATTGAATAGCCTAACATGAATGATTTTACCTTATTACAGTGCAGCCACATCACTTCCAGTTTTCCCAACCAGGCACATTAGCAGCATATCATTAGGTAACATTCTGCTTCTGGCATCACATTGTCATTCACTTGCTCCCCGCAGGCTCCTCTCAACAGTCTCTAAATATTCTAACCACACCGTATTTCATAAGTGAGTCCCAGCACTGTGGCTGTCCTGGCCACAATCTGCTGCCAACCTATGCAGTGTTTTCCCTGAAAATTTTTTCCTTAGCTATTCTTTTGTTATTAGTGTAGCATAACACAGCTGCTAAGTCCCTCTCCACACACAATTGAACTTGCAGGATCTGCACAACTAAGCGTAGTAATGGCATTAGATGATCCACAAGCAACATTCATTATAAAAAGCACCATTACCCGTGGAGAACAACACAGAACAGAGGACTAAGAATGGTCCTTAAGGGCTATTGTGCACAGCACTAACTAGCTATAAAGACACAACCAGTTCTTCTCAGATCACCATTTCCTTTTACCTCCATTATACACTACACCGCATCCTTCAGAACTGCTGGGTTTTACTCAAATCTGGATTCCACTCACTAGGATGAACAGTTGACAGGTCTGGTCTTTATGCTGAACATCCCTGATGTGACCACCTTACTTTTCTCCTCCACTCAATGTTTTAAAGTTAAGCAAACTCCATAGCACCATCTTGTGACAAGAACCATCAAGTGCACGGTAGGCACGGGGTGATCACCTGAGGCCAACACAGATCTAGAGGGTTTGGGTCAGTTACCTGCAGTAGCTGCTGAGTGCTCAGCACTGGAATAGTCACAGGCTGCATTGCCACCCAGCAGCTCTGCCTTACTCACAGGAAAGCTGACCTCTACTTGCAGTCACACGTGGTGGCTTCAGTTCAGAATCAGGCCTTACATATGTGAAAGTCCTCAGTTCAGAAGAAAGGAACTGCTTCAAGGAACGTCTAAATTTAAGCAGACTTTCTAATAGTAAGAGCATAAATACTCCAGAAGATATGCTCAGTGGACAAGGTAGAACAAATTCATTCAGTGAATGTCAGTGGACCCATGTGAACACACTGATGAGAAAGCTACCAACAACATTCATGTTACATTATCAACACTAACCTCTTACCTTGGTTTCTAATAGAAATTAGTATTTTCCCCTCTTTAGGTTTGGGGTGAGGTTTTTTCCATGTGTGCATATGTTTGGTGGTTTGTTGTTTTGTTGGGGGTTTTTTGGTGGTTGTTTGGGTGTTTTTGTGAGGTTTTTGTTTGTTTGTTTTGTTTTTTAAACTACTTTGAATCTCAAAAGAAATGCTGTGCTCAATTTCATTGTTGTTTCAATTTAACAGATGGCAAGAAAAGACCTAATCTATGATCTGCACAGAGCTGAGTTCAGTACCCAGCCTTATACTTCACACCTACTAGACCACAGAGGCAATCTCCACTGAAATGCAAGTGTCTCACTGGAAGCCAGAACATGGCTGGGAGGCATCCAGACCTAGGAGGCTACCTCCAGAGAGGAGAGACAAGAGTTAAGGGACAAGACTGGGTTGAAAAGACGTTGCTAACAAAGTACCTTCTACAAATAAAGCTTTCAAGAAAAGTCATCAGTCAAATGACAGAATACTGAAATGGCTGCCTGCTTCCAAGGAAGCCAGTGCAATGCTCTGTGGCTTGCAACTGCAGCCAACTGAGGAACTAACTCAAAAGAAGTGAGCAGATAAGGCAGGAAAAGCACACACTACAGAAGCCATATTTGGGTTGGCTTTCCATCCATCACCTCTTTTTCACTGCTACAATAAACATAACTCGACTTTACACAAGCAGTCCTTTAAGCCATTGTACAAACATGGACAAGTCAAGAACTGTGTTACACTGACTGCCAATTTATGTTTTGTTTCATAATGAGGTTTGTTTCCCTCTATTCTGAAAGGAACAGATTTCTGCAGAAATTGAAATAAGGTACTATTTTGACTAACAGTCAGCAATTCTGGAGTTCATTTCTAGTTCTGCTTCTGAACACTCAAATTGAGAAAAGAAGACAAATCTGTCAAGATTATTTGCTGTAGATACTGTGTCTAGCTTGAGTGCTGCAAGCTGTGCAAATATCAGAGAATGAGTTCCACGTACAAGTTCTGATAGTCAAAGTAACACAAGAAAAAGGTCATTTTCCAAAAGTTATTCCCACAAGCCTGCTCAGGAAAAGCTGCAGTGCGACAATAACATAGTATAAATTGGTAGTTTTAGTTTACGTATTTTAAATCAGCATCATGTGTTTGAAATTCCAGCATTATCATATGGCATGTAGCATAAAACAGAAAAAAATTACAGATTACTTGCCTTTCCCATCTGTTGCTGAAGCCTCCTGTAAATGTCTTATTGACCTAAAAAATAAAAATAAGAAAGAGTAGATTAGCTATAACTTTTGCACTCCCTTTTCACTGCAGCCCTCTAGAACACTGACAAGTTGTTAGCTCTTTATGGCTGGAGTATGCTCATAATTAACCGTGCTTAGCATGCTTGGCACCGCATATATTTCACCCCCCCACCCCACCTCAGGCAGTTAGTTCAAGTATCTGTATCTCCTTGTGATTAAGAAAGCCAATTGCCAAAGCCTACTTCAGCCTACAGAATGCTTTGTGGGAGGGAAGGAGCAGAGTGAGAAACTGGGGCATTTTCCAGCATAATGCTTTCCACTTGTACAATTAAGCTGAGCTACTATTCAGAGTACTGTCAAGCATTTGGCATCTTACTGCTCTTTTAAGCTCTTTTCATTTAAATAGTTGATTACAGCTTACATGTCTACATAGGCAACTTATGTAACAGAAGCTACCCCGCAGGAATGTAAATTTAAGGGCCAAATCTTAGTCACCTTGCTCACATGAGTCATCCCACCAGCTGCAGTGACACTATCCAGATGAAAAAGGAGCAGGATTTTTTGTCCTGGACTTCACTGTCAGTTTATGTTGGTACCATGACAATGCAGGAACACTGCTTGCACTCTATAAACAGTCACAGGGCAGCTCACCCAAACTCATTTGTTCTTCAGATACACTTCCTTTATGGAAAGCAAGTTCTGTACCAGCATATCACTAAGTAGGACATACAGATTTCTAGCATTAGGTAGTAAGAGCTGTGACTGTAAAAGTCACCTTTAATATAGGAAATCAGAGCCTCCACAATTAAAGTTAATATTCTTGCAGTTTTCTTTACCATACCCAAATGCTCTCAGCCTCAGAAGAGCTGCAGCATTTTGACTGGAATGGGGGAAGGGACAATTTCTTGGAAGATCTTTCCCAGCCTTGGCAGAAGGCCACCAAGACTGTGTAGGCTTTTGCCCTTACACAGAGGACAATTGGGAAGGTAAGGACAACCAAAACGCACTCTCACAAGTCAAGCTGAAGCTCACTCCCATCTCCTGAGCAACACATATGTCTCTTCACACACGCACACATTATGAAACAGTTTGTTTAAACACTCAAGAGTCACATATTCCAGAGTGACTACAAGTTTACTAGAATTTATATTCACTCTGTTTCAGAAAAAAATACTGGAAATACTGGAGAAAAAGAAGAATATTCTGTGTTTACCAAGCAAGGAGCCAGAAGCTCCTTCATATACTCCTTTAAACCCAGCTGTTTATCCAATTAAGTCTAAAATGAATTTAGAAGATAAATGTTCTGACTAACTGGCAAGAAGCAACAATAGTGTTTATCTGAATTATCTGTGTTTTGGTCAAGTTTTATATAACCAACATTATTCCCTGCCAAGTAGAGTGGAAGGAAGGGCAGGGAAATGCTCCCTGTGGGATTATTTCTTCTAAACGGTCAAGTAAAAATGCAGCTATTCTGCTTGAAGGCAGCATTGATCTTAGACAGCACTATTGTTTTTAGAATTTAACAGTCTAGTTTCCAACCTCAGTCAGTAAAGCAAAATGCCATTTCTCAATGTAAAAGAGTCAGCACTTCTGCAAAACTCTCAAGTTTCAAAAGCACCTATAGTCTGCACTGTGTTGGCCATGCTTAAATTGCCATCCACCTTATCTTATCCCCACTTTAACATCCTCAAAACAAGCAACTTCCACAACACAAGATCAAAGTGTTAAGACTGATACTGTTTTTAAAAAGTTAACAGAACACTTGACTCCAAAGGACTTCTTTACTTTGCCAGTATCTTTAACTTTAACTATCAGTCAATACTCATTAAGTTCAGAAACAGCTGAAGCCATCATGGCTCAGAAACCACACAACACATACAGTGACTCACCATACCACTGGAAATAGGATGGCTCCACAACATAGCAAGTCTACCAGGAAGAGGATTTCTTTCCACAGTCCATATTCAGTTGTCCCTTCTTCTGTTGACTCTATGATAATGTATGCCACATTTGCCAGTACCTACAGGACAAAACATGTTTAATGGTTTCAGCAGCTTTCCAAGGAGATTCCAGATGTGGGCTGCCAATTCAGCAAAAGCTGTCCCACAGTTGCAGAAAGAGCCCAGTCAGTAACATCAATAATTCTTCTGAAGCAATATGTCAAGAAAGTCACACATTCAGCAACATCTTCACAGGATTTACAGAAATAAAACCAATTGGAACTTATTTCTGCTGACACTCAGAAAGTAGTCTTTTCTGTTATATACTATGCTAGATCTACTATATCAGTAGAGATAAAAAGAGCAAAATCTATTTATAAAGATACAGAAACAGGCTTCCACATATACACAGATAGCAAACAGTCTACACACATTATTCTAAATTAAGCCAATAATTCAAACTGGTCATCAACTACATTTTGTACTCCACATCTGAGCTCTGTAAGAGCCTCAAACACTAACTATACACTTCTGGTTTTGCACCTGGCTCAGGGTTTCCATCTGGAAAGGCAGAAAAGCTGTTTTACCTACAACAAATAGAAGTGCTGCCCTCCAATTTAATTCAGTTCATGGAGTATAAGCACCGACCCCTTTGAACACACTGGGAAAGTTTCCCTCGGACCCAACAGACCTACAAGTCTCAGTTTCCCTGCCCCCTTTTTTTCCCTTAAGCCCATTCACCAAGCATTTCAGAAGTAACAACTTCCATTTAATTTCTGCTTTGCAGCCCAGGTTTTGCCCCAGCATGACTACACTGCGGAACAACAGCTAGTTGTTCATTTGCTGACACCATTTGATCACCATTACCTCCATACTCAATATAGGGAGAAAAAGTGGAGAAAATTACAGAAGCAAATTCTGGCCCAGGAAATTCCAGCAGTAACTACACAGTATTTTGTATTCACAGCCTTTTACAGTTTCCACAAGCAGTTCACTCACAAAATAGTTAAGTATTGACACAGCTCACTCCTCACCTGAAGTGGGATGACAATCATGAAAATTTTTTTGTCTTTATCTGACAGGATGTGTTTAATAAAAGCCCAGCCTGTACCAATAAGGGCGATAGTGATGAACAGAAGAGCACCCTTCAGTCTGAAAGAGAAACAGATTCTGCAGTGAGAAAAATCACACTTCCTCTTCTGCCCAGGTTCTCTCCTACAGTCAGTAAAGCCACAAACCCAAACAAATGCCTTGCTATTCATAATTTTGGCAAGTGCTTATCCTACAACAGCGAAGCAGATGTACTTGCTTACAACTGTGTTATCACACAGCAATATTACACTTCATTCACAATTGTCAATATATGCAATCTTTTCCTGGGGGAGTCATCCATTCACCACCCTCAACAGGATAAAACATTGGCAGCTGTACCCTCTTACCATTCACACCAAGAGCAAATTAGATACTTGAATATTAGTATGAACAAAGAAGAGCAAAGCATTTCTTCTCATTTTACTCCACCATCCAGATAAGTACAAATGCTCTGCAGCTGCCCTCTGTAAATAGAGCTTTCCCCTTCAAATAGAGCTGATTGTTGTCCTGCCATTCAGACCACAGTACCAAAGAATCAGCAATTTTCCAGTTTGCTCAGGAGGGAAGGAGGCAGGCACTCCCACAGGGAATTCAGTTTCATTGTTTGAATCTATCACATCAATCTTCTGACACACTTACAGGTGAGTGATGTAATAAACAACAGCCCAGCCTTCAATAGGAAATCCCTGAGAAGAAATGTAGTAATAGTCGATCTGGAAGCAGAAAATACAGTACATTACTTAACAAGCCCCACTCATGTCTATAAAATAGGTCTCTAACAGCCATTTCAAGTTTCATTTTCCAATCAGTGTGTACCAACCCAGCTCTGTTACATCTCAGATAATACTTCCTCCTGATGTGTTCCAGTTTTGTTTAGCAACAATGTGGTAATTTCCATTTGCTGTATTTCCTAAGTTTTAGTGGATACATCTCATACAATCTACATTCTTCCCACACAGTTCCTCCACTTAAACAACTGCATTTGTAATCTATTTATTCATTTGTTCAAGTTCAGTTGCATTAGGTGACTAGAGGCTTTCTAGTTTCACTTTCACTGGAAACCAGATTCAATCAATTAGATGCCAAAACTGTTTGTAGCAGTTATTCTATGATGAACGTGAAGGTGAAGATCATGGCTGGCAGCAGGATTAAATGCTTGTCATTACCTTTGTTTACGAGACCTTTCCAATGGAAAGACAAAGTCAATACAATTCAGCAGAGACTTCATGTACCGAAAGCGTCAAAGCTCACAATGTTAGGTCTGCTAGAATACACCACAATACTTCATCTAAAGTAGTGCCCTTCAATTTTACAAATATTCATCAAGGTTTCAATTTATTAACATTTATTACAAACCACACAGCTGGAACAGCAACATAGCCCAAGCTTTCAAGCCAGCCTCAGATGGCCAAAACATTAGAATTCACGGAACTCATTCGACCCTCACATATGCTTGCTGCTTCACTGCTTCAGGCCACGATCTCAATTGTATTTAAAGTCAGAATTTGCTGATGAGAACGAAATCACTTCACCAAACAGCTGCAGTTCAGTTAACAGAATTATAGAACAGTTTAAGTTGGAAGGGATCTTTAAAGTTCATCTAGTTCAATGCTTCACTATGAAAGACACTTCTCTCCCCCTCCCATTCTCCCCTGCCAAAGCAGGTTTCTCTAACAGCATGCCCTGAATTCCATGTTTCTACTTCCCACCTGAACAATTTAAGGCACAGACTTTATACATACCGCATGGAAGACTAAGGACAGAGATTTTGTGAAAGGGAGGGCTGCCATTAGCCAGTGAATCTTAAAAACATCATTTCTGGGAAGAAAAAAAAGAAGGAAGGTTGTCAATTACAAACCAGCAGTAAAAATTTCAGATCCCAAGGCTATTTCTTTAAAACCCATAAATGTGAAACAGTAACTCCCAGGCTGAGCTAACTATTAGTGTAAGAGGATCCCCTTTAATGCTGCAATCCAAGTTTTCACAACATCCTGAACAACATTTCAACGACATGTTCTAAAACTCTGGTTTTTAATACTTGGGTTAACTAAAACTAGTAAGTCATAGGAACATCTTGCATATATAAATCACAATTATTATAAAATTCGATAAACAGAATTCAAATGTGTATCACTGCCCCCAAACCACTGTACCACATCACCAAGTGTACTTCAGACAAGTCAAAGGTAAAGCCAACATGGAATCAGAGATGATCCTGGCTTCTGATGCTATGCTTCAACTATTAAGAAACATAGTTTTCAATTAGGAATTCCTATCACTTTCATCTATAATCAAAATGTTTATGGCTCTCCACTGCCATAAGCTGCCACTCCCCACATAAAAAAAATGATCAAGTTTTTCTTGTTATTTAGAGTTATTTTCAAATAGTGTTCTTCCATCATCTACAGGAATTTCCTGTTTATTTGTTGCCACAATATATTTTAATATGTACACTACATGAAGAATTTCTTAACCTAAGACTTGATAACTTTAGAGCAAGAGTCTTCAACAACGACACTGACAGAAGCAGCTGTTTTCAACTATAAACCATACGTATTAGGCATACAATACAGAGCCAGATTTGGAGTTTTAACTAATTAAATTTGATTGTGAATTGGGCATAAGAAGAGGAATAAAAAATTAAAATCAAACAAGGTAGGCCCATACTTGTCACTGACACCAAACTAGTCCGCTTACCTGCGTTTACGTAGTATGTGGATCCACACAGTTCCAGACAGGAAGAAGAAGATAGCCATGGATATGTAAAGTTTTGGCAGTGGGATCTCACCTGCTGAGAGGTAGCTTTCAGGATTCTTTTCCGTAATTTCTATCTGAATATTAAAGTTGTGTTATGTGTACAGTTGTAAAAACATTTTGTTAAAGCATTAACAATTACAGCTCACAATCAAATTAGCTCATTTAAAAATTAACTTCTCTGAAGTTGTGGCTTCTTCTCAAAGAAAAAAAATAAAAGTCTTCATCCTCAAGCATCTCAAAACATTTTGCAAAATTACACTCACAACAATAATTGCCCTGAAAAGCAGAAAAGGACAGAGGTTCCTTTCCAGTGCTTCAGTTATACAACTTAATTCAGAAAGGCAAAGTGATTTTCCCAAAGAATAGTTGTTCCTTATACCAGATTTCAGAGTTCGCCCACGTTTGATTTGGAAACAGTATCTACAACCTTGCATGAACAACAGGTTTTGTAGAACACTCCTGATTTTAGGTGTGGAGAGAGTAGAAAAAGCTGAAAAACTCTCTCTTGGGTTTACTACAGTGGATTTCTTCACCTGTCAAGAGAAATGAAGCACTCTGCTGCAAGCCTATTACCCTGGCTGAGAAAACAGAAGCTTTATTTGACATCCTATTTATGCCCCTAAATGGCTCAGTTATGTGCTAGGACTTCACTCAAATCATGCATCAAGACTAGTTTGCAGCACTGAAACTGTCCTGCATCTTTAAATACAACCAAGAAGGTTAGTTATCCAGGGGGTCTTCTCTCCAGTTTCTTCAGTGGGTCAAAGCAACAAACAGCAATTCGAAAACTCTGCCTCAAACGTACAACTTCAGAAGCAGATTTCAAGTAGTCTAGTCTGAGTTAAGGCTGCTAAGTTCTATCACTGACATGTTCCCTTGCTTTTCCCTTGCTGTTACATCAGCACAACCATGTAAAAAGCAGTTCAGGGTCTGATCTGGCTGAGAGTTACCTCAGTCAGTGAGAGGATTCATTCCAGAATAGCTCACTACACACCAGCAGGGATGCCAGCATGAGCACAGGAAAGAAAAAGAGGGAAAGCCTGAGATGATAATGCACTCTGGCTCAAAAGAGCATAGGACCAAACTCTTGGATGTTAAAAGAGGTAAGACATTTGCATCTTTAATAGCCCAGAAAAAGCAAAAACACTGAATTCACAAATACCAACAATTTAGATTGCAGCAACAGCCTTAATATTTGAAATTCTGTAAAGAAAAAAAAGCTATTTTTGAGCACAGCAAGACATGAACATCTGGTTTGGCTCCTGTCTCATTACAGCATCTAGTCACAACTGCATAGACTGAACCCAGCCCACACAGTCTTCAGTTTTCCAGATATTTCTCCAAAACTAGTATTTTAATTCTTCTTACTACAGTTGCTTCCTTCAGAAATGCCACTACAGAGATTAAATGCACAACTCTGAATCACTTCCCATCCCATATACACACTTAGGTACAGTGTGTGCTTGGCATACAAACTAGAATTGAAAGCTGTATATTTCAGCCTAAGTGAATGATTTAATTATAGTTGAGAAGCTATACTCACATCAAGACTAAACAGTCGCTGATCATTCATCGGCCCATCACTGCCAACACATTTATGGAAATACAGGCTGTAGAGACCTTCTTGGTTATCAGAGCTGATGTTAAAAAAAAACTGAAAACAAGGAATAGGAAAGTCAGCATTATTCTCACTCACAACAGGGTTGTCCTTGTAAGAAACCATCTCTACTGAGGCATGAAAAGAGTCAATCATCAGTTGGTTCCTTTCAGCAAGTATAATGTTCTGAGGATACCAGCATATCTGTAAGTTTCAACACAATTCCAGATGCAAAACCATTTCACCTCTCTATGATCACGCACTCTGGTAATCCAAGACCTTTACTGAAGACCTTTAGGTATCAGTGTTTAACTTACTTCACAACAGCAAAAAGATACCAAGAAGTGTTGTGTATTTAACATGGTGAAGCTTAAAATTTCAGTCATATTTGCCCTAAAGCATAAGCAGCACTTCTTCCTCCCCCAACTACACACATTGTGCTAGCGATGGAAATAAGATTTGTGTCACATAGCAGATTTCTAAATGTGTTTGTTTTATAGAAACAAACAATCACTAGTGAACTAGGGTGCTGAAACAAAGCATTGATCTGGTTTCATATTGAGTATCTTCCTCTTAAGTGAGTGAGCAGTCAGGTGACAGCTGTCTGTTGTTAGAAATCTGTATGCACTAGTTGCACCACAGTGAACTTTAATATGCTGAGGCTCACAGGCTGAGATATTCAGAACTGCATCATACCAGACAGTTTAAAACAGCTCCCACACCTTATGAAGAAATGGATTTCCACCATTTACTCTTAACAAAAGTCCTCTCAAAAACTTACTGAGTTATCAGAGAGGCATCTATAACAAAGAAATGGAGATTACAATAGGGACCAACAGACTTGTACTTTTCACAGAGTAGTACAGTGAAGGAACTGTCTGCACACATTAAGAGTAGAGACTGACAGGCACCCTACCTGAAATGAAAAAGTTCCTTTGTCATTGTGAACTGGATGTTCTTGTTCTACTATGCTCTGGGAAAAAGAAAAGAGACTTTTAGATTATTTTTTTATTTTTTTTTAAGCAGGTAACTACCAAATTTAGCTACATCATCCAGACAATCAAAACTGCATTCTGTGTATTTACAGTAGAAGCTGAGAGAAATAGAAATACTCTCCACTTTCTGGTTATGCTTATATTGGAACATTCTCCCAGGTTCTTCCTGAAAGAGAACAGCAGATGGTTTCTTACCTGGGAGGATGTTGTACTTCGTTTGGACTTCTTATCTAGAAATAAAAGCATTAATGGTACATTAAGAGTGTTTGCATTTAGACATTCTCATAGACTACCACATTTTACATGTTGTCAATTCCTTACTCAAATCTTCCCATACTTGTCTGCGTGGCAGTTACCTAGATAATCATTAACAGAGATTCTTTCCAAGTCCCTTCTTACTCTTCCACAACTAGCATTCATTCTGAATGCATCCTCAACTGCTAGGATAGGTTTCTATTACATCTTCTACAAAATTACTATTAATACAATTACACCTCCTACAAAAGCCTACCCAGGAAATCTTTCCAACCCCTCCAATTACAGGGATACAGGAGGCAGATGACCTATACCAGATGCAGGCTACAGCCTTGTTTCAGTCTACAGCTATAACTTTTAATGTTATGATTGAGTATTGTTAATCTCACTGACTAATCTTAATCTGGACATTAACACATGGCCTGACAAGCATGTGGAAGTCCTAATTAGCCTAATTAGGAAAAGAAAAAGTTCTCAGCTCTCTACTAAACAAGGCTCCACTAAAAACAAACAAAAACACAAAGCATAGGTGACCTGCCAAATCAATATCTGTTCTGAACTTGAGAAACTTAAATTGACAGGAGACTTCAATAGTGCAGCATGTCATGTTCAGTTTCTCTCCACTCCTATAAGAAGCTTTTCAAATATAAGGTCAGCCCATTCTACCAGGAAACTAAAGTTCAAGTCTTGAGCTTTGCTTTTGGCTCCCACACCTCAATGCACTGTCAATGTGCCTGCTACACTTTTTAATGCAAGGAAAAGCAAAACTAGAGCTGTCAGATCAATTATCTTCATGCCATCCAGCTTTACTTCTTGACTTGTTAGAACAGCTGTGCAAAATTTTCTGTGATATCAAAGTCTGTGAACATGACATGCCAAGACAGATTCAGACTACTTCAGATGAGAGTGCTGAGCAGTCTGAGCTGAAGTCTAAACTCATCCAGGAAGGGATAACATGAGCTGTTTAGAGCTAATCCCATCAGAGCTGAGATTATAAAATTGTTTTGTCTGCTGGTCTGGAAGTCAGACAAAGATCTGTGCCTCCAAGAAGTGTTACTGGTGTAGTTGCTCCTCCATCATCATAGCTTCTAAGCAACAGACTAGATTTCAGCTTTTTAAGATACATACAAACTCATACAAACATTGGCTGGAAAGGACCCATGGGCGTATTTAATCCAGCTTCTGACTCAAAACATGCCTAATGTCAGTAATATATCACATTGGCCCTGATTTTGTTTAGTCAGGTGTTTAAAACCTCGAATGATGGAAGTTCTACAACTTCCACAAATGGTCTGCTACAGTACTGGAATACTTACCTAGGAAAGTCTCATTTTCCCTCCTAACATCCAATCTGAGACACCCAAGACTTAATAAGGGGGAACAGGCACTGGTTGTATTGTGTGCCGCTGTTAAAAATAGCTTGGCATCACTATTCTTTTAACCTTCCTTCAACTAGCTGGTGGTGGCTACCAAATTCCTCCTTAGCCTTCTTTTTGACAGATAAAAGACAACCAGGTACCTCAACCCCTCCTCACAGGTACTGTGGGGCTCCAACAGTCACGCTGGGACTCTGTTAGATCAACATGTTTAACACAAATCACTGAGGAGAAGAGACCCCAGCCCAAAAGGCAGCTCTATGCACAGGTTTACACAAGACTGTGCATCAAGTTCAACCCCATGGGGCCTCCAGAACGTGATCACACCACACTGCTGGATGCACATCAATGAGGAACTAGCAGTGACAGCACACACAGGTCAGGTTTAGCAGGCTTACCTTTGCTGTCTGGATTTTGGTTGGTCTTTGCAAGATTTTTATCAGAACCATTGCTCTGTTCGGAAGTTTTTAGCAGCTTGGTACTTAAGGCAGTAACGTTTTCCGCAGACACAAATGAAATTTTAGGTAGTAAAGAAGATGCTTCTGCAGAGAACCGTACTTTCACACTAAATAAACAAAGAGGTTTTTATACAAAATGAAAGCAAATCAACATTTGTAAAGAGGCCACTTGTCATAGCCTACAAATACCCAATAAAGGAAAATCAACTTGTCTTGACTTTTGTTTTTTTTAAACCAGAGAGAAAGGGCAGCAGCAGATCATGATTTACAGCAGCCTGGCTGTGCAATTGGACCTTTGAGCTTTGTGTGGGAGAAGTCACACCATACATTTACATCAAATACAAGAAAGCTGAAGTTTATTCAGTTTTGGTAATCAGAGTCTCATCAGAAATGTTTCCACACAGTTACAGTTGTTCTTGCAAAAGAAAGCAATGTAGCCTCAAAGGTACTTCCATAAAATAGATAATTCAAGACAAACAGTAAAACAGCATATTCAGTGCAAGAGCTGCAAAAGTGACCCAAGACTTCAAGTTCATGCCTTCAGCACAATTAAGGTGTGATTCTTTTTCCCTTATCCCTCCAACACACAGCAAGAATTCTTAGACTATTTTATACTGCAGGTTTCTTCCTTTCACTCACCTCCCCTCAACACTCACGTAACCCATCGAAAAAATAAACTTAAAGAATTTTCACAAGTGTTACATTAGCTTCAACTAGAGAAATAACTTTAAAATGTAGAGAAATAACTTTAAAATGTAGTGTACACTATTTACTCACACTTCAGTTTTGAAATCCAGAAGTAAGATTACAACAGAGACATCTTGTTCTGGTTTCTTTTTTAAGATACAGTAATCCACTTCTTCATCCTGGTAATATAAGCAAAACATTTTTGAAGTACCCTCCTGTTTATAAGAAATGGGATGTTTCCCACCAGGAAGAGATTAGCATTCTTAGTCCAGCAAGGTGTTAAGGATAATTCAATTTTACAATCTGCCCATATTTAAAGAAGGCTCCTCCCTGCCTTTTTCTTTTTTTTAGTTTCTTCCAACCATTCCTGGAGTAAGGTAGACTATGAGATGTCCCCAGTTTAAAAAAGTAAGTTCACATCTCTTACCAGGTAAGTGGAGAACCCATCATTCCTTGTTCGATCCAAACTGAATCCCACCTATGAGACAATTCAGAAGAATCCGTCAAATTAAAACAGCTCAGGTTCCCCTCATATCAGAAGTCAGACCACCACTGAAATAGTCAAAGATATTGCTCCCTAAATTAACCTACATTTGAGGCAGGATCCAGGTATTTCTCATTACTTCATTAGATAGCAAAAAATTATTTAAATATAAAAAACTTGCTGCTTCATCCGTATCCACCAAGAATAAAATATATACTGATTCAAACCCAAACTAATCTAAAGTACCTTCTGTCCCTGAATCTTTTAAAGTTATTTCAGTGATTTTCCAGATGTTTTTTCTTGAGGAAAACATTTAATACTTGAGTAATAAAGAGGTTGAACTGTGCAGAAGAGTAAGAACACAGGACTGTTCTCTACCAGAGTATTTCAGTCTCTATTAAAACCATTAATATAATGTGCTAAATAATACGTAGTGTTAGAGACATCTAAAAATAAGACAGTCACTATTCTGGAAACCCACAGATATAATGATTAAAAGATGCTTTGCAACACAACAGGACAACAACATGAAAATCTCACATCAGAGAACTGCTTAGGAAGCTTATGTTCAATACTGGTTACAGATGTGTGCATCGAGTTCAGCAGAGGATCCAGTAAGTTAAAGTTTATCCTTAAAGCAGAACGGGTCGTGCTCAAGGATAAGTCTCACACAATACATATCCTCATAAATGTCTCACAGTGGGGAGCAAAGCCAAAGTGAAGGTACCCAGCACAGAGGCAGTTTCACAGGACGTTGAATACAGTCATTGGACTCAAGGTGACTTACTGATAAGCTGCTCTTGTCATCAGAGCCCACAGGTGGCTTCAGCGAAAGGTTCCTGACACTGACTTTCATGAAACCACCCTTAAAGAAGCCAAAGGTATTCAGGTGCACTTTCTGCCTCACATCATCCTGTAAGAAAGGAAAGTAAGTTTACAAATCACATACACAGCCATCTGCAGCAGCAAAGAGGAAGCAGGGTGACAGAAACCAAAACTTACTTAAGTATTCGTGCAAAACATCTATCTAACTGTACCAAGAGCAAACTTCTTTAGGACACCTTCAGATATAATCAATTATTTCACTGCAATTGACCAACTCTTCCAATAACCTGAACAACAAGAACTTTAAATAAATTGTCTTTGCTAATTACCTGACTATACTACTGAGAAATATACGGGAAAAAAGTCTGGAAGAAGTTAAATATCTGGTATTTGTCACCTCATCAGATCTTCTATGTTAGACAGGGACAATGTTTGGACAGTCAAACACCTAACACATTGGAAAACTACATGTATGGTGTAGATCAGAAAATTTCTTACACAGTCCCATTCCTCCAAATGATTTTTAGCAAGGCCATGCATCTTGTAAGTAGGATAAACACCAAAACTTGGGTATGTGGGTTCAAACAGCATCACCTGGGTTAGTTTCCTCCTCCCTGGAAGTGCTTAAGGCCAGGCTGGATGAGGCTTTGAGCAACCTGATCTAGTGGAAGGTGTCCCTGCTGATGGCAGGGGGGTTGGAACTAGATGATCTTTAAGGTCCCTTTCAATCCAAACCATTCTATGATTTTATGATAGGAGAATTCCAACCCCTTGTTTTGCTTCCAATCTTAGTTGCAGAATAATTTACTGCTTCTCAGTCTGGCAATGAAACTGCAGAAACCAATCCCTTTCCATGCCTTGCCTGGCTGATATGATTTGAAGGTTCAAGTACAGTGAGGTTTAGTTGTGTGTTTTTTTTTGTTGTTGTTGTTTGTTTGTTTTAAATAAAGAGGTCATGAAATACCTCACATGAAAATCAGTAAACATTACACACAGCTGCCACATCAGATGATGAAAGGTCATATCCTTGTTACACTGCATTCAATAAATAGGTACACAGTTGGACCTTCAATCCTCTGGGGTCATTAATGGGAAGAAAAGCAGAAACAGAGCAATAAAAATTAAAAACCAAGTCTAGAATGTGATTTAAAGCACTTTTACAAGTTGTCACTAAGAATAAGAAAATTGTTTCTTCTATGAAAAGATAATCAGATTATAGAATATCCAAGCAGAGAAGTCAGCTGCTAAAGGCAAACAAACTGTTCTGGACAAGGTACTGGAAGGCTGAGAAGTACAGCAAGTTCTCTCTTTTCCTTTCTCCTCAGTATTAATTTTGACATCTTTACATAAAACATTCCTGACGCATGAACATCACTCACTGTAACAGCAGGACACTAATCCTGACACAGCTAACCTGTAATCTAGCTGTAATAAGATCACTCTAACAGAATCAAGTTAACCTGGCAAATAACCAGATGGTTCCCTTAATGCTCAGGAGAGGAAAAAAAGAGTTAGTGACACATGGCTCAGAGCAGATGCTTTGTCAACAGAATATTACAGCTGTGCTGTCTTCAGGTTCTAGCTCACTTAATGTGATTGAAACAAGAGCCCATCTGGTTCATTTCACACCGCTTTCAGTAGAATTTCTCACTCAGAACAGAAGATCAGTACTAGCACTTTACAGAGCATGTTTAACCACATCTGGACAGACAAGCATTTGTCTGGGTGACGGGGCAGAGGGGAATAAAAGCCAGGGAAACAGTGTCATTCACCCACAAGGTGTTCTGCACCTTGTAAACATGACCAGAGACAGCTGCTTAATTCAGAGTCCTTGCAAAAGCTACTTAGCTCAATTTAAGTTTATTTACTCCACTGGTTCACCAATATGCTCCCGCCACCAAGAAAAGATAATTAATATACAACACACATACACTTTCCTCCCTGGTTTTATCTCAGCTTTGAGTGCTTAGAGTTTACAAATTTAGTTCACAAATCCTTCAGCTTTGCGTGATCCCACGTGCTCTGTCACCAGTTGCCACCAAGCAACAGCACGCCCTCCAAAAACACCTACTGTTCCACATATTGACAACTTAAAGATACCAACTTACTAATAATTGTCTCACTTCTTCCGACCTGTTAAACCTCCTGTGAGAATCTGCATTTTATTTATAAACATCCAACTGCTGACTTCAGAAATACTCAATTGTAAGTTCACAACAAAAGGTGTGAACCCATAGAAGTGAATATTTAGGTGAAGTATAATATATTATATTAATGTCTACTATATAATGACATATATAATATATAATATCTATTATTATATAATATATATT